TACTACTTATTAACTGGTAAACGGTTGCAACCACTCAATAAACCCACACTTTCGCTCAGTACTACACACCATCCAAGGGGCAAATGGACCGTGAACTGGGCTTCATAGCGCTGGGTATAGCAGCGACTGCATTGGTTGAAACAATTAGACTAAATACCCATATAAGTATGCTAAACATGAGACCTGCTCCATACCGATGCGAATACATACTTATGGGGAAGACCGAGGCCTGTGGTAGGAAATGCAGGACTCAGGGTACTGTTGTTTCCACATGGGAAGCCTAACTACGTGTGTTCTGTGTGTGCGGTATAGGGGTCAAAGGGCACTACTGTTTATGTAAAGCTCGCGAGGCTGAGGCGTAGTCAGACATCACCTCATCTACGAGAATAAAAGGCCTACATAAAGAGCGTAGGCGATTTCTCAAGATAACAGTGTAAGGCTGGTCCCAATTAGAGATTATACACACCTACGTATAGCTATGTTTGTGGAAATTGAGCCCAGGGAAGGTTGCCTGAGCAGCTGGCAGATGGACGTGGGGAAAAGTATAGATATTAGTGTCCTCAAACCCATGATTGTTAGTGAACTATATAAGGGGTGCTCGTTTACAATCATTGTAAAAGTAGGGTTTGATGTGCCATGGGCTGGGCACACTTGGAATTACTTTGATGGTGGGCGAGTAGATGTGCATGGGGATATAGATATACTTGTTGACGACTTCGTTGCAAGTAATACAAAACACCCTACTATGCTGCGCATATTCGGTGGTGGGTTGAGGGAATAATCGATAAGGTGTATCTTGATTTTTACCTTACGGTGGGCCAATTAGACATTGGTTCTCTTAGGTGTGTACGCAACTATATGACCACTGTTGGTGAACTTAAGCGGGTCGCCAGGCAGAGGGTGTAATTGGAGTATTCTCGAATGCCCAAACCAGCATTGTTGAAATTACTAGGTTTAGAAGCCCCTCTTACGGTAAAACAATTAAAAGCTCAAGCAAAACAGCTTGGATTCACGGGTTATTCAAACCTGGGGAGAGCCGGGTTAATCGCATTGTTATCACATGCCCCCGTAGCAAAACCTCCCACTGTAAAACAACTGAAAGTTCAGGCACGTGATTTGGGGTTAGGGGGATATTCCCGTATGAGGAAACCACAGCTTGTAGAACTATTACGGCAGAATAGAGCTGTCGACCTACAGTTCGTGCGCACTGAGCGTGCTGTAGGCAACTATTTGAGAGGCTGGCGTATGCATGTTGATAGGAACATAGATATCGCAGATATCAAACCTCTGATAGCTGATAAGGTCAACCAGGAACTAACCAGTCTAGGAAGTATCAAATTTCAAATCACAGTTAAAATGTCACTTTCGATAAGCAGAGTGGGGAGGTGTCACTGAATGCGTTCAGCCTTACTTCGGGGTAAACAAGAGGTCGTGACCCATATAGAGACCATTGACGCATCAATGCGATACTAGTTTTCAGCAGATAAGAGAATACCTAGAACGCTACACACACTTGGGGTCGAATGGACTGTAGATAAAAATCGATTATGTCTATCTAGACATAGCTAACTACGTGCCGTTCAGAGGCGGGTCATACCTAGACTTGCCTCCCTACTATAGGAAAAAACATGCCATAGTCAACGTCAGGAATAGAGGAGACGATTGCTTGAGGTTAGCTATCAGGTCAGCCTTGTTTCCAGCTGGCACTAATTCGAACAGGCCTTCTAGTTATCCCCAAGACGATGGGCTCAACTGGGATGGTATAGATGAACCCACCCCCATATCCCAGAAAACTAAAATAGAAAAACAGAATAATCTAGCTATAAATGTCTTTGGGCACGAAGGTAACACAACAATAGTGCACAGGGTCAGCCCGTTGGGGAAACCCCAAGGGGAAACCCCTTATCAATATATTCATGATCCAGCGAGGTGACAAGTACCACTACGCTTGGATAAAACACTTTAGCAGGCTGTTGTATGACCAATCGGCACACAGAGAAAAGACCCACTTCTGCGAACGGTGCCTACATGGCTTCACACGAGCTGATTTATTAGAATCCCACCGGGAGATTGCCAAGGTGTGGGGCAGACGGCTATACGAGTCGACATGCCTAAGGAAGGTGACAATATCCTAAAAATTCGGTAACCACAAGAACCAAATGTCTGTGCCTTATATCATATACGCCGACTTTGAAGCCTTGGTTAAACCAGTTGTTGGGGATACCCCAACAGTTGAGGCTGTTGGGGGTACCCCCACCACACTCAAAACACAGGAGCATGAAGCCTGTGGGTTTGGATACATTGTCGTCCGTTGTGATGGGAAACGAAAGCTCCCGTAGTGTATAGGGGCCCTGACGCGGCTGAAAGGTTTCTAAAGTGTTTGCAGGAGGAAGAAAAATTATTAGGAATGCACTGTATAGAGTCGCTCCCATGCGTATGACCCGAGCCGACAGGCTAGCTCACGCCTGTAGCACTAACTGTCACGTGTGTGACTCACCACTGAATGGTGATTCTGTGAGAGATCACTGCCACGTAACCGGTGTAAGTATAGAGGCGCGGCTCACAGCACGTGTAACCTCAAGCTTAGAATCAACCCTAAGACAATAAACATCCCCGTTGTCTTTCACAACTTGAGAGGGTACGACTCTCACTTAATCATGCAGGCCATCGCGAAAATCGATGGTAATATAACGTGCATTCCCAACAACATGGAGAGATACATCTCCTTCAGCTTAAACGGCCTTAGGTTCATAGATTCAGTACAATTTCTATTGTCTTCATTAGACAGTCTGGTCAAGGCCAACGATACCTTCCTATCACCGACCGATACACAGACGCCGAGACTAGACCCCTGCTTATGAGGAAGGGTGTGTACCCTTATGAGTACATGGATAGTTGGGCCAAGTTCACCGAGACCAGACTACCCCCCATCAGAGAATTTTACAGCAATCTGACAGACTCGGAAATATCCCAAGACGATTACTCGCACGCGATTAACGTATGGAATAAACTAGGTTGTAAGAACCTGGGGGATTATCACGACCTGTACTTGAGGACAGATGTACTGCTGTTAGCCGACGTGTTTGAGACGTTTAGGCGGACATGTTTCAAGCAGTATAAACTCGACCCCGCGATGGTATTACACCAGCCCAGGTCTGTCGTGGGATGCCTTGCTTAAAAGACCGGAGTTAAGTTGGAATTGCTTACAGATTATGACATGCACCTATTCATTGAGAAAGGCTTGCGAGGTGGGATCTCCATGGCAACCAAGCGTCTATACGCGAAAGCAAATAATCAATACGTTAAGGGCTACGACCCTAGCAAGCCAACCAATCACATTCTCTACCTCGACGCCAACAACCTGCAATGGCTGGGCTATGAGCCAGTATCTACCCACAGGGGGGTTCGAATGGGCGTCAAAGGAGGTCGATGTTATGAGCATCGCACCAGATTCGAATAAAGGTTATATCCTCGAGGTTGACTTGGAATACCCCAAGGCATTACACACATCACACAACAGCTACCCCCTGGCTCCCGAACGTATGAGGGTTAACCCAGACTGGATGTCTGAGTACCAACATAACTTGTTAGGTGGGCGTGTGACAGACGTTGAAAACTCGTGCCCAACTTAATGAATAAGACCAAGTACATCGTTCACTATCGCAACCTACAGCTGTACCTGTCGTTGGGTATGAGGCTGACCAAAATACACAGGGTGCTCGTGTTCACCCAGAGCCCCTGGATGGAGCCTTACATCAGAATGAACACAGACCTCCGAAAGCTTGCCACCAGTGACTTTGAGAAAACCTCTACAAGCTCATGAACAACTCGGTGTTTGGTAAGACTATGGAGAACCTGAGGAAACGCGCGGACCGTGAAGCTGGTTCGGTCGAATGAGAAAGACAAGCTCAGGAGACTGATAGCCAGTCCAGCATTCAACCGTAGCAAGATATTCACCGATGATCTAGTTGCCCTACACATGAAGAAAAGCCACATAAAATTCAACCGGCCTGTTTACGTGGGATGAGCATCCTCGATTTATCCAAACACCTGATGTACGACTTTTTATTACAACGAGCTTAAGAAACAGTACGACGACAGGTGTGAAGTTCTGTACACTGACACGGATTCCCTGCTGATGGAGATTCGAACCGAGGGGCGTGTACAAGGACATGAAAAAACACCTCAATTTGTATGCGACACCAGCGACTACCCCAAGGACCATGCCATACACAGCACGGTAAATAAAAGGTCCTAGGTAAGATGAAGGATGAGTGTGCTGGCACGCCCATAGCCGAGCAGTACATAGGGTTGAGGCCTAAGATGTACTCCATACCGAAGGCCGACAATGGTGAAATCCGGAAGGCTAAGGGTGTTAAGAAGTATGAAACAACACATCAAACACGCCAGATTCAAGGAAGCACTGTTCAAGACCCGTACCTTTAGGCATAAAATGAACACACTTAGAAGTGATGGCCATAAGATATACGGACTGACTATAAACAAGACGTCCCTGTCGCCTATGGACACTAAACGTTGGATAGCTATTGATGGGATAAACACGTACGCTTATGGGCATGAGAAAATTGAACATGTCACGAAACCAGAGAAAGTTTGAGGCTATTTACTACAGCCCGGCGTGGGTACTGGAAAAGAGCTAGTGCTGTAGATAAGCTAGCTAAAATGGCTGAAGTACCCACGGAGGAGGCTGCCAAAGCGTGGCTTGAAAAACAAGCCCTGTGGCAGATCTATTTGCCGGCACCACGCCACGTGCCTAGAAGGAGGTTCGGTATTAACATACCTAATAGCGTTCACCAGGCAGACCTACTGTTCCTACCCCACGACAAGAGGTACAAGTATGCCTTAACCGTAGTGGACGTAGCCAGTCGCTACAAAGGAAGCTGAACCCTTGACCGCGAAGACCGTCGCCCAGGTAGCCAGAGGATTGAACGCGCATACAAACGCTGATCCGCTGGCGTGGCAACAGAGCTGCAAGTTGACCCGGACGGGAGTTCATGAGTGCCGTGTCACAACTGCTAGACAAACACGATACAAAGGTCAGGCGTGGCGCGGCTGGAGCCCATCGCAGCCAAGCCATAGTTGAGAGATTCAATAGGACTTTGGCAGAAGCTTATTCGGGCATCAGTATGCTAGGGAGATGGCAACCCGGAAAAGCGATCGACTGAATGGGTCGCGAGGTTACCCAAGGTGGTGTCGGCAATCAACTATGAAGTCACCCGGCTCACTGATAAGAAACCGGCAGACGCTATCAAACTAAAATCAATAGTTGCAGAGTCGGCTGCTCCATTGCGTGGGAAGGAGAAACAGATACCAGATAGGGCCCTAGTGAGGTATCTATACCAGCCGGGGAACACGAGGGTGATAGCCGTGGCGAGCCACCGATCCTATATATGGTCAGTCAAAACTTACAACATAGATAAAGTGGACATCAAAGCAGACGAGCCAAACTTGTACTACTTGAGGGATGGGCCAGGTAGGGGGTTTGTGAGAGAAGAATTATTGATCGTACCGTACGGTACAGTGTTACCTCCAGCATAGCGGTGTCCCATTACTCCAGCCATGCCCCCGGTAGCGCGGCTAGGAGGTGCGTTCGCATCCCCCAACTTTTGTAGTAGGGGTAATGGTAGCAAGAGCTAAGGGTCCGACCAAAGCCTTACTTGTGAAATAAGGCTTTGCAGAGGCTTTGGTTAAAAGTGATCCAGAACCCCCATTGTATATACTACTCGTGTGATGCGGCTTCACTTCCAAGAATTTCATCGAATTACCGCTATGTTAAACAGGTGTTATATCACGCGAGACTAAATAGTCCCTTAGAAAAATGTGTGTTTTTTCAACTTACTTAACTTTTTGTTAAATAGTAGTACATATGTATTTTCTGTACTTGAATGCTTGAATTTCGTTTTAGTAATTGCAAACAAAAACGTATTTTATCAAATTTGTGTGTGAGTTGTTCATTTAGAGGCGAGACGTGACACCTGTGACTTGTGACACTTGTCACGGGCACAACAGGGATGTGAAACCTTGGAACTTGCATCTCACCTTGTTCAGACCTCACAACAAGTACACTGAACAACTCTTCCCAATATGCTGCCATCAACCTTCACTCTGTCATTCACCTTTATCGGAGATAGGGATGACGTCATGTGAGTGGATGTTCGACAAAACAGCACAACAGCAGACGTATTGTATTACCCAAACTGAAACATGAGTCTCGTTAACCAAATCAGACAATGACCTACTTTCCAGCCGATCCGAATTTTCTCGTGTGAAAGTGAAAAGAGACGCTACAAACAACCATTATTACACTGAATTCCACTTCCCTGTTTCAAAAGAAAATAGTATTTACAAATTGATTTTGAAACAATCGTATTTCTACATTATGTGTCGAGGTTTAGGCATCATGTCGTTAAATAAGACGTCACAGACTGCCCCTGTTTGAAGAGGTCGTACAATGATTCACAATTCTTCTGGCTCACTGGTTACACCTGTTATGTGTTCTTTGCGCTTATTAAATGTATTTTTGTAACGTACAATGCTATTGATTTAATATGAAGTCCGTACCAGACGGCCTGACCTTTATAGCGGCCGATCTTCGTTTTGAGATTTCCACGATTTCCAGATGTCCGTTTGTCAGAGCAGGCTATACCTACGACAGAGCACGCCGCACGTCGTGTTTGCAAGGATTCGAATTAGCGTAATATTGCAATATTTAAGTGATTAGATGTATCAAATTACACTGATTAATATATATAATATATATCCAGTTGAATAAGTTGGTCTCAAAATTCTGGACTGGTAACTGAACTAAGTTAGCATAATAGGGCCGGAACCCAGTCAGTGGGAAAGGAGAATGTAATGTGATCAATGTTTTTACTTGCTTGCAACATTGTATTTGTTTTGTTTTTCTACAGCTGTCATTTCCAAATGTTCACATGGAATGTTGATACATTTATAATTCTACTACGTCTCTGACGTCATTAGTATTCACGTGAGATAAGCGCATGCATGCTGACCTCATTCTAGCTGCATGCCTAAGAGCGTTTAGACGTCGGTTAACCTGGCCGTTGTTTTTTACGTTTTCCTAGCCTGAACAATCGAGCGTAGACGCTACTCTACAAGAAACGTCCTTGGTAGAAGTTATATTTAGGAAAATTTGGTATATTTTAAACCCTATTTTCACCATGGTTTTGTGTTCAACATGAACAGGTCACGTGAGAAAATGGGAGACCCCTCGACCACGTTTGTCGATTTGGACATCGATCATGGGGCGGATGCAGCGTGTGTTACTACCGATGGGGAATTATTGTTAAAGAATGATTCAGCGGCTAGAAAATCATCTGAAAAAAGCCTCAGTGGCACACGTGAACGAGGCCTGACAGTCGGCCACCACTCATAGTCCGGGTAAACGCGTTTGGATGGATACCGATACTGGTTCCAAAAAGTTGCATAAAACTGACTCAATTGTTTGGTCGGATGATGACGATGTCACGGAACTATTAATGAATAACCCTTCCATTCATTTTTGGAGGACATCGGTCAAAGTTATGATTTTGAAGACGTCACCCCGGACCCCGTGTCTGATAAACTATCGAGAATAGTTGACAAACGTTTTTCTGGGAAATTGTCAAAAGATAAGATAAAAAAACTATATGAGAAACACCAGCGACCCAAAACTGTGAGAAATTAATTGTGCCTTAAATTAATATCGAAATCTGGAAAATATTAACAATAATGTCAAGAGAAAAGCTTACGATTTTGTAACCTTCAGAAATCTATCATCAAGGCCAGTATCGAAATGTGCAGAAAGCACGTGCTGAGGGCAATACACCAGACTGGAAGTCGATGATTCAGTTGCCAGCTGACACTTTGGCCTTGTTGGGTCAGTGGAACGTAATGTCAGGACACAGTGACATGTAATGTCAGTGCACATTGACTCGTAATGTCAGGTCACATTGACTCGTAATGTCAGGACACAGTGTCAATTAATGTCTGGTCACAGTGACACGTAATGTCAGGACAAAGTGACACGTAATGTCAGGACACAGTGACACGTAATGTCAGGACACAGTGACAAGGAATGTCAGGACAAAGTGACACGTAATGTCAGGACACGGTGACACGTCATCTCAGTGCACAGTGACACGTAATGTCAGGACACGGTGACACGCAATGCCAGGACACAGTGACACGTAATCTCAGTGCACAGTGACACGTAATGCCAGGACACAGTGACACGTAATGTCAGTGAACTGTGACACGTAATGTCAGGACACAGTGACGCGTAATGTCAGTGAACAGTGACGCGTAATGTCAGGACACAGTGACACGTAATCTCAGTGCACAGTGACACGTAATGTCAGGAGACAGTGACACGTAATCTCAGATGTGGGCTTGGGCTTGGGCTTGGTGGCGAGTGGACGTGTGTTTGAAGCTCTCCCGACAACAGCGTGTATGTGAATACTAAACCACATGTCATATCACATTGGACATTTTGAGACTCATTGGTGGTAATTCTGTATGGATATATTTTGCGCTGTTTGGAAATTATGTGGACGGGAATATTAAAGAAACCAGGAAAAGGCGCATCCTAAGGTAGTCCTTCTTTTCATACAAGCCAGACTGTTTAAGTATGAGTAACGTAATCTCGCCACCAACGTAAACTCGTCACCACTGTAAACTCGTCGCCAACGTAAACTCGTCACCAACGTACTCAACACAGAGGCCAACCTCTTTTGAATATGGTATCTTGAAAGAACTTCATGATATGATTGGAGAACATGGCAGGCATACGTGTGAAGAAAAGCTGATAGAGGTGTACAAAAATGAGGAAAATGAACTGAACAACATTAGATCTTCCCTGTATAATATTGCAAAATATGACAAAGAAGAGTTTCCGGACGGATCCTTAATCAAAAGAGTGAAGAGAAGTGGTCAGGCTAAGAGCGTTATTATGAAATATGCAGCTTCATCAATGGGTCTGTGCCTGCTATACAGCTTCATCAATGGGTCTGTGCCTGCTATACAGCTTCATAAATGGGTCTGCGCCTGCTATACAGCTTCATCAATGGGTCTGTGCCTGCACATGTCATGCAGTCAGAGGTCATGAGTCGCTACAAACCTAAGTCCGATATGGATACCTTTTCTCGACACAACTGAGAACTATACACAGAAGGGAAAAGACATACTGTCATGTTTCTTCACAAACCGTATGTGTATGCACGAAGCAACGTTTCTAGGAGATATCTGATAAAGTTGATAACTTTCAAGAAACATAGGAAAGATATATGTGTCAGATGATAGACGCCCTCGAAAAAAAGAAACAGGATATTGCATATCTGAAAATCCAAGTTCACGAAAATTAATCTCGGGCAGCTAGTCTGAAGCACGATATATCTATGCTAAGAGATGATTTGAAATGTAAAAGCAGGGATACTCTACAACTGGTCTCTCCCTGGTAAAAGCACTGGAGTTCAAACTCTACCTGACATTATAGACTCAAAAATAATGGCTATTGACAAGAGAACATGCGCTATTGAAGGAAAGCTTGACTGTATTAACACAAGAAACAAGCTTTTGTACTCTGAAGCGGTGAAAAGTCCATGCTACGATGACATGAACAGAACACCGAGAAACAGAATTACAACACAAGCGACGGTTCATTGTGAAGCAATCAGTATTCCAGATAGCCAACTTAGTGACGGCGAGAACTCGTTAATTAGCCCGCAACAATCGAAACAGGAGATGTCACCTGACCAGAAAAACAATAACGTGAATAATGACGCAACACAATCTCAAGTGAAGACAAACTTACAAGAACGGTTAAATTTACAGAACATTGGCGAACGGCTTTTTCGGGAGCCTCACCCTTCTGACACAAAAGACTCTATCTACGTAAAGGCGGAACAGCCTTTTGATATTGTGAAAGATGCAATCAAGGACTATTCATCTGAAAGGGGAGTAACAATTAGCAACATGAAGCTTTTAAAGCATTGGGAAGGACGAAACCCAACTCACACTATCCGACTGAATGTCCCAACGCAATGTGCTAAAGTGGTACTATCGGATGAAAAGTTCTGGCCTGCTAATGTGCATTGCAGGGGAATGGGTGCCTAACCGTGCATGGTACTCAAACGATAGATTAGGAGATGAAAACGAAAACTCATGATAATGTCAAACATGTCGTATACTACCCTCTTACTTATCATGCCTCGGATTGCAGCCTGGAACATTAGAGGAACCCGTGAACTATGTACAAGGCTGGATAGCACAGACATCTTCTTCTTCGCTCAATGAACACAATTCATCATTCGTAAACGGAATTCATGACGATTTCGATGTCTACTGTAAGTGTAACCTTGACGCGACAACCCACCACAGAGGCCAAGGCGGCATATGTGTTTTTGTGTGTAAAGGTGACTGGTGAAGAGTGTCAATACTAGATACGCCCGAGAGTGATCATGTGCTAGGTATAAGTCTAGAACATGGCAGTAGTATGACCTACGTTATGGGTACAAGACTACATTCCACAAATGTCCTGGGCAGTGTTTATATCGACCAACTCCATTTTGTGATGAACCTATATGATATATATTCACAGTATGGTCAAACCATACTCACTGAAGACTTTAATACAGACATTAGGCACTTTGTTGCCAAGAGGACTCGATCTCACTGTCTCCAGAGAGTACTTGACGGACGCGACCTGTATTCAGTCGTGCCCTTAGACGATAAATGTAAATATACGTTCTCAACCAAAAGTGCTAGTACGAGAACAATGATAGACTATGTTTTTATAACAATGACTATATCCACAACGTAATAGGTTACACCATCGATACCAAGATATCATACAATGTGTCTGATCACCTACCCATTCATGTCTGTGTTAAAATTGATTATGCATGCGTGTCTTATGGATGGTCTAGGCTCATTTGGAGAAAGGCATCTGATGTCGACCGCATGATCTATCGTTACGAAACTGAAAACTACTTTCGTTACGATACACACGACCTTCCTGACTTCTCGTCCCATGCTGAGTATATTGAAATGTACAATCAGCACATAACTGATATTTTACTGTCATGTGCGTCTATAAGTATCCCGTCATCAAGGTTTCAACCATTTCTGAAACCATATTGGAAAGCAGAAAATCTAAATAAACTACATGATGAAATCCATCAGGCAGCGGAAATAGACGTACATGAATATTTTAAGCTTACAAAAAGGTATAAACGACCTACAGGTCTAGTAACCAGTATCGTATACCAAAATCATGCAGGCAATAATGCAGAAAATATCTGTAACACTTTTGGCCAATACTTCAAGGTTCTATCTGTACCAAACATGGAAAGTAGCTTTGATAATCACTTTGCTGGATAAATTGAGCGCTCAATATCAAGTATTGAATGTCTTGAGAAAAGTAAAAATATATGTGAAAGAGACATGTATTCACCGCTGAATGAACTATTCACTCTCAGCGAGATTATAGCTGTCGTCCAAAGGCTAAAACAAACAAAGTCCCAGGGCCCGATGGACTCGCTAATGAACATGTCAAGTATGTTCAACAATATCATCACAAGCTTTTAATGTTGGCCATATTCTGCCCCTGCATAAAGGCCACGGTAAAAGTAAAGCTGACCCCTCCAGCTACAGGGGAGTAACATTAACGTCGATTCTCAGCAAACTGTTTGAAAGATTGCTCCTTAACAGAATTGAAAAGTGGACAGCTGAAAATATAACGTTTCCCCACAACTTCCAATTTGGCTTTAGAAAAGACTTTAGTGCTGAGACAGCAGCTCTCACACTTGTAGAAAGTATTGCATACTATAACTAAAAGGATTCACCCGTCTACTGTGCTTTCCTTGATAACGAGAAATCATTTGACCGTGTTTGGCTTGACGGTCTATTCTACAAACTCTACAATCTTGGAATTACTGGGAAACTCTGGCGGATACTACGCCTATCCCATAGTTCAATGCATTCATGTGTAAGTTTTGCTGCTTTTAAGTCCGATCTATTTCACATTAGACAAGGCGTGGGCCAAGGTCGAGTTTTGTCTGCCTGGCTATTTTCTATATATATAAATGATCTACTACATGCTCGCTCGGCAAGAGGTCTGCCCATACCAACCCACACACAACGCAACACCTGAGTAAATAAACAAGCAGTTTATTACACAGCAGTCACTGAACGATTTTACATAATCAGTCAATTATAGCATAGTTTACAATTAATCATTAGAACCTGTTCACAATGCAATCAGATATCAAAGTACATAAACATCACATGTAGATTCGTTATATACGGCACATACTACATTAATCGCGATACATATTCCAATGTACACAACAATAGTTCAGTACACTACACAGGAGTGCTAAATAACAGACTGAATACATTCTTAGATACCAACAACATACTTAACCCAACACAGGCAGGCTTCAGACAAGGGTTTTCAACATGTGATAACATTTTTGTTATGCAAATGATGATCCAAATACTAAAACTCTCCAAAATGAAACTATATACGGTATTTGTAGATTTCACTAAAGCATTTGATAAAATCTGGAGAACTGGGTTGTGGCATAAACTTACAAAAACTGGGATAGATGGGAGATTTTTCACGCTCATAAGAAATATGTATCACAACATAAAATCTAGGGTAATGATTGGAAATACCATATCAGATGAATTTCCGTGTTACGAGGGTGCGCGACAAGGTGAAAACCTGTCGCCCCTTTTGTTCTCGATATACCAAAATGATCTTGAACAACACCTCTTTGACAGTAGTGGTAATGGTTTTAAATATGAAACGAAAACTAACAGTATCGACCTCTTACACCATTTTATTATATTGCTATACGCAGATGACGCTGTACTGTTCAGTGAAAATCCAAAGGATTTACAAAAATCCCTAAATGTCTTCTTTCATTACTGTAAGAAATGGAAACTTAAAGTAAACTTATCTAAAACGAAAGTTGTTATCTTTGGAAGCCGACCCGCGAAATCTTCGAAACTCCAGTTTACCTATGAAACTGAAACTATAAGTATTGTAGATACATACTATTACCTTGGAATTAAATTCCATAGGAATGGGCGATTTGTCCAAGCAATTAAATCACTTACGGAAAGCGCCACCAAAGCAATGTATTGCCTTTTAAAGTAATCCAGGAATGTTAATTTACCTTTAGATTGCCTTTTCGATGCATTTGATGTTATGGTTGTTCCAATTCTATTGTATGGCTCAGAGATATGGAGACACGAGAACTTAGAAATAATAGAAAGAATTCACTTAAAATTTCTGAAATTAGTTTCCGGTTTGATAAATAGCACCCCAAATTATATGCTTTACGGTGAATTTGGAAGGGAGTATCTGAGTATTAAAATCCATAAGCGATTTATTTCACATTGGCATAAATTAGCCTCTGAGAACACATATTGGAAGCCATCCCAGATTATATATAACTGTGACAATACAAATAAAGTTCCATGGCTACGTTTTGTGAAACATATCCGTGATATGACGACAAAACTAAACATCTCAACAGAAGTATAAATATTGTTGTTTCTGAAAATAAAGATAAAATGAAACATATCAACAGAAATGTAAATATGGATGTTT